TAAAGTATGTAGTACTAGTATGATTTAATGTGTCGCGTAGGAGCAAGGCAACACCATGTATAAAATATTTATAACATAGAATTAATAGCTCAAGTTATATGATACTTTTACTAACAAATGCGTGTACACGTTTCTTATGAAAATATCTGAATGGTATAAATGCTACACACACATATATTACATAAATATATAAGTATTGCAATACAAACCCAAGCGCACACATATACATACTAGATATCTGAAATAGGTGTTAAATAATATTGCCAAGCAGCAAAATATCTTAAAATATATACTGAGCAACTTTATTAGAAATTTCTACTAAAGTTATTCTGTATATGAAATTCTAATATATATTGTTATTTATTAACACTGTAATAAATGCTTATTTCAGATATGTTATTTATATTACAATATTCATATTTAAGTAATATATCTGTGTAGGATTATTTTAAATTTGTACATTCCGTCCACAGTCGTTTACTGAAATTGAGAGGACAAAAAGGTTTGGAAGAGATAAGTAGTAAAATTCATGGCTCAATTTTCGTCTGACCGTATCGTTTCTAGTTTTCTAAACAAATAAAAAGTAAACAATAACAGCTATATAATCTTGAAAAATACAAGTTACCAAATAATAAAGAAGTCTTTCAGAAAAACTCTTTTGAAGAGATATATACAAGAGATTATAATTCAATTTGCATACTATTTACCATTAATTCTTATATGTATGCATGATCTGTGAACTGTTCACCAATCATATATTTGCATGAGATCTATTTGGAAGAATTAGTCTAAGACTGTTATTTGATTTTTTGTAACTTTTATCTTTCAAGATTATGTTGCTGTGTGTGTGTAAGGAATAAAATTATATTGAAGGAATAAACACCTTATTTGTAAGCATCATTGTTTATGCTATGAATAATGTACACAAGGCTCTTAACTGCTAAATAAAAGAAAAAAGTACATAATTACAAAAATATAAACAATGTTTTGTTATACAGATAGTATTAACATTTTAAACTAAAATATTACATTTGCCTGAGTGAAAAAAAACTTGTACAGATAATAGTACACACACACACACACACACACACACACACACACACACACACACACATATATATGTATATATATATATGTATAAGCAACAGGTGTTGTATGTACAAGATAAGCTTACCAGAAAAATTAAATACAAAGCAATAATACTGGGAACGACAGAAGCAAAGACGACAAAAGCAAATTAAACGACATAAGCAAAATAAACGACATAAGCAAAATATTACATTAATTTTTTATATCCTCCTTTACATTTACATATCGGACAATCTATTTTTATTGATTGTTCTGTGTTATTGTTCAACAATTGAAATAAACAGTTACAACATAATATATGTCCGCAAGTTACAGCACCAAAAGTCTCCAGAACGATCTCATCCCGACATATATCGGACACTCTAAAGGCTTATCTAATTTAATGTGCCGACGTTTACATTTTGTTCGTGTACAAATGTTTTTTTTAAAGTCACCACATATATCGGTGTTCTGTAAGGTTCGGCCGACTTCTCTTTTTAGATTTTCGGTTGCTTTGCCAGTCATCATGTAACGATACTGTTCCACACTAGGGCAGTGTAAAAATGGGCAGTCCTTGACGCTACACAAATTATTTTGATATTTGTAGCAATATCTATATGTATGAACCGAACCGCAATCTAAATTGCTGCAGCAACCTCTTTCAAAATTTTTGCATTTTTCAGCAAATTGTTCCCTGAAACATTTTTAGTACACGAGTTTAGTACGAGATTATGAAACCGAATAGAATCGTATAAGCACAAAAAGTATTTTGAAAAATCTTACCGTGAGCCGTAAAAAGACATTTTCACTATAATAGCCACTTAAATGGGGAATATTTCAGCGCAGCCTGCGTGAAAAAAAAAATGTGTACAGATTATAGTACACACATTCTTACATATATAAGCAACAGGTGTTTGTTAAGCTTACCAAAAAAATTAATTACAAGCAGTATTAATTAAATACAAGGCAATATAACTGAGAACGACAGAAGCAAAGACGACAAAAGCAAATTAAACGAAATAAGCAATATACACCACAAGCGAGGTTAAGGGTCGACGGTCGACAAGAGACTCCATGTGGCAAACCATGAACTACGAATCGTAAAATCTATATGGCTGAGTTTCCACTGAGCGCGTCACGCGTCGCGTCATTACGAGTTAACCAATCAAAGCATTCTATTTTATTACATTATTTGTAACGAGATCAAAATGGGATGCGACGCGTGACGCGTTTAGTGGAAATTCAGCCTATTGCGGCCAAAATAATGAGAAAATCGCATTTTAACTGCGATATTCGTAATCAGCAGCAGCGCGTTCAAACTGCTACAGAGCGATTTTTTGGAAAAATGGTCAAAATAAATTTTTGAGTTTTTATTTCGATCGTTTTTCTTTGCCTTGCATTAGTGCTGGTCTACAACGTTATGTTAAAGAGATTTAAGCTCTAAGCCGTAAAAAATTGGCCAATCACAGTCGAGTATTCTCCTCACATTCCACTGTGATTGGTCAATTTCTTACGGGTTAGAGCTTAAATATAATTATTAATAATTACATTATATTATTCTTTAGTTTTGCCTTACACTTCATTGCCGTTTCTCAGATGTATCCAGTCATAACGTATGAATATTTAAGATACGCTTGATCTAACTGTGCGCGATTAAACGGTGCGCGATTGTACGGTGCGCGATTGTACGGTGCGCGATTGTAACGGTGCGCGATTGTAACGGTGCGCGATTGTAACGGTGCGCGATTGTAACGGTGCGCGATTGTACGGTGCGCGATTGAACGGTGCGCGATTGTACGGTGCGCGATTGTACGGTGCGCGATTGAACGGTGCGCGATTGTACGGTGCGCGATTGTACGGTGCGCGATTGTAACGGTGCGCGATTGTAACGGTGCGCGATTGTAACGGTGCGCGATTGTAACGGTGCGCGATTGTACGGTGCGCGATTGAACGGTGCGCGATTGTACGGTGCGCGATTGTACGGTGCGCGATTGAACGGTGCGCGATTGTACGGTGCGCGATTGTACGGTGCGCGATTGTACGGTGCGCGATTGTTCGGTGCGCAATTGTACGGTGCGCAAAAACCGTGTCCAATGCAACATACGTTTATTTATTTAAATAAGTTAATAATATGTGTCCAAAAGCAACGGTGTCCAATTGAACTGTGCGCCATTTAAATGTGTCTAAACGAACTGTGCGCAATTGAAACGTGTCTAATCGTACGGTGCGCGACGTTATGTGTCCAATAGTACTGTGTGCAATTGCAACGTGCGCAATTGTACTGTGCGCCAGTGAAGGCTTCTCGAGTACAAGTGCCTGACCGATGGCACTCGCGACGCGTTAGTCCTGGAGACGGTGTGGGGACCTTCGAGTCTTCGCGCCTTGGGGACTGTCCCTCGAGTCTTCGCGCCTTGGGACAGTCAGCCCGTCTCTCGTCTCCGGGGTGAGCAGGGGTCCGCCTTCCCCTGTTTAAAAACTCGAAGGCGGGGACACGGGTAGGGGGGGATGGATGGCTGAAGGATCGTAATAAATCCCGATGTTAGACATCCCACCAACAGGGGTCGGCCTTCCCCTCGTATAAAAACTCGAAGGCTTCGGGCCGGGGGTGTTTGTTGGGTACAAACATCTCCGGGGGTCCTTCAGACCCAAACAGGGGCTCGCCTCACCCTGCACCAACGGAGGCAGTAGGGACTTAGCTACTCGCACTCTTCCGGAAGAGTGCGAGATCCGGGTAGGGGACGCTCTGGAAGCGTGGGCGCCTTTCTCCGGGGAAGGGTGACCGCGTGGACAGAGCGTTCATCCATTCGTTCCGCGGCGCGTTAACCCCGGGGATGGTTGATGTTGGGCGATCCCTCGAGTCTTCGCGCTTTGGGGCCGCCCGTCTCCCATCACCGGGGTGAGCAGGGGTCCGCCTTCCCCTGTCGAAAAACTCGAAGGCGGGGACACGGGTAGGGGGGGATGGATGGTTGAAGGATTCTCGGATCCCGATGTCAAACATCTCACCAACAGGGGCCGGCCTTCCCCTTGTATAAAAACACGTAAGCTTCGGGCCGGAGGTATTTGTGAATGACAAATATCTCTGGGGGTACATGCGACCCAAACAGGGCCTCGCCTCACCCTGCACCAACGGAGGCAGTAGGGATGTAGCTACTCCTCATGAAAAGGAGATCCGGGTAGGGATGATTTGGAAGCGCGACATTCCCTCCGTGGGGGATGTCAGCGTGGAGATCATCAAAACGGGTTCGCGAGAGGGCGAGGTGTCGCGCGGGAGTTTTCGAGACCCTGTCTCGGGGACACTGTCGTGACACACCGCTAGACGACCAGGGGTTTGGGGGCCTTCCCCTAGGGTAAAAACTCGAAGGCTAGGCCACGTGGTAGGGGATGATGAATGATCAAGGGAGTTCAGGAACTCCCGAGGTCACGCATCATAACAACAGGGGTGTGCCTTCCCCCTCGTATAAAAACTCGGAGTGCGCGCGGGAGGAGTTGCATCAGCATGGATGCATCTCCGAATGGCGGTGCTGCGACCGATCGAGAAGGCACTGAGGATTAACGACCCTCAGCTAAAGGGCCTTCCCTCGGTTCTGTAAAGAGTTGCTGTCTGGGCCAATTGGTTTACGGGCAATCGTTAAGCGTCCGCCTGGTGGGGTTGCCGACTCACCCACCCAAAATAAACGGAGTCGACACGAGGACGGGGACTGCCCCCACAGGTTGCCAGAGAGAGCAGCGGGGGTGGTCTTCCAAGAGGTCCAGGCCCGAGTAGGGTTAGGGGGAGCTTTGGCACACCCTTTTTAGAGAACGTGCGCGTTTCTCGAGGGGAATGACGGAAATGTGGAGGCGGTGGTCAATGCACCGTTATCCGCACCCCTGCAAAATTCGTGCAGCGAAATGGAGGTGGATGAAGACGACCCCATGGAAGGGGAAACAACGGACGCCTCGGTACAAGAGACTGAGCCAAACGGTGGTGGTAAGAAGAGAGGCCGCGGCAGGCCCGTGACCACCGGAAAGTACGAAGTGAAGAAATATGAGCGGGCAAAACAGGCGAGGGAGAAGGAAGAACGCAGGCTTCAAGAACTGAAAAAGCCGTCAGTGCAGCCTGATCTGTCTAAAAAAAGAATGAGTATGGGAAAGACCATGCTGGAGGAGTTAAGCACGGCCCCGACAAACGACCTGCCAACGCGGATCATGGAATCGGTCCGAACGGTCGACAAAATATGCAAAACTGCGGGCAATCTCAGGGGAACGGACCAAGGTCTCCTGAGAGACGCAGCGGCGGCAATTGCGGCTGCTACGACACATTTGGTCGAAAGAATGAGAAACGAGCGGTCCGAGTTGGACCGTGACGTAGAAGTTGAGGAACTTCGCAATGAAGTAAAATCGCTCAGAGAGGACAATGAGCGACTCAGAGACCTCATGAACAAGGTAATATCGGGCCAGGATTGTCAAGGGCTGGGCCCGACAAAGACGAAAGCGGAGGGGGAGGCCACAGGTAACGTGTCCGACACCCTCCCTTCAATTCTACCTGCCGCGAGACACGGAGGAAGGAATAGGGTAAAGAGAACGGTCGGAAAGTTTCCCCTGGAATCCTCCTCGGATGAGGAAAAGAAGGAGGAGGAGAAGAAGGAAAGGGAAACAGCCGAGGCTAATCGCCTAAGGGTGCTGGAAGAGACAAGGATTCAGGGGATGCCCGCTGTCTTGAGACCGGAAGTGGGAGGCAACAGAAGGCTGCTAGAAGAAGCAGTTCCGGCCGCCCAACCGACGGACATAGAGATGGAAGTGGAGGGACCGACTCAGCCTGAGACTCAGCCTGAGAAAATGGCAAATCCCTTTGAGGAAAGGCTGAAGCGAATTGAGGAGATGATCGCCAAGCTGGCGAATCCGGCTGTTAAGCCGGACAGCAAGGAGAAGATGTCCTCATCGGTAGCTATAAGCGCGAAGAAGGGACAGTTGACTACGGCTAAGGTGACCTCCGCGGTCAAAAAGGCACAAGTCAACAAGAGTGAAAAGAAAGCTGCCACGAAGACTGGGGGGGAAAAGCTGCAAAGACAGCTAAGTCGGCACTCTCGTATGCGGAGGCTGTCGGAAAACCGAGTAAAGGCTCGGTAACCGGAGGCAATCAACCCTCCAACTATAAGACGAGCAGTAACGACAACGCACTGAAAAACGCGAAGTCCTCGGCCCCACCTAGGGATAGCTGGACCAAAGTGGGGAAAGGAGGTAAAGCGACAAAAAATGCCGCAACTAAGAGCGGGGGAAGTGGTGCTTCTCCTAACAAGGGGAATAACCCCGTTTCGAAAATGGCGGGAAAGGCAATACCTGACAAATCGGCCACACAGGCCAAAAAGAACGAGGGCAAAATCAGGTTGCCGCGAAGCGCAGCCGTGGTAATTACGAGCGCCGGCGGAGAATATGAGGAGCTCCTAAAGGAAGCAAGGAGCAACATTAACTTAGCCGAACTCGGCATTACGAAGGGGCTGAAGCCAAAGAGAGCCATGACCGGGGGTCTTATCATCGAGATCCCCGGAAGTGGAAATTCCGACAAGGCGGACAAATTGGCGGAACGGTTGACCCAATTGTTCGAGGGGAGATCCGACGTGAAGGTATCCAGACCCATGAAGACTGCGGAGATCAGGGTTCTCGATCTTGACGATTCGGTTACCGCGGAGAATCTGGCAGAGGCCATTGCGGAGTTGGGCGGCTGCTCACGGGCTTAGATACAGGTGGGCCAATTGAGCAGAGGCCCAAATGGCCTGTACACGGGGTGGGCTAGATGCCCATTGGGAGTAATGCGAGGCATCCGTGAAGCAGAACATAAACTACGGATCGGATGGTTTGTGGCCCGGGTAAGGGAGCTTCCAGCGAGGCCCCTCCAGTGTTTTAAATGCCTGGAGGGGGGCCACGTGAGGGCTCAGTACCCAAGTGTCGTAGACCGCAGCGAAAGGTGTTATAGGTGCGGAGGCACAGAGCACCGCGCCAGGGATTGTCGCGAGAGACCGAACTGTCCAGTGTGCGCAGATTTGGGACAACGCGCGGATCACAGAGCCGGGGCAAGGCGTGCTCCTCGGCAAAGAAAAAGAAGAGGCCTCAGGCCTTGCCCACGTCTGCCACTCGACGACCTCCAGCCCGAAGGAGGGAGAGGGGCGGGGAGCCCATGGACGTGGACGAGGTATCTGCGGCTCCCATCGGAAAGGGACCAAAGATCACTGCTGTTGAGACAGTGAGCCTGAAACTTACCGGTAAACAGGCGGTCAAGAGATCAGCCGATGATGCCGGAAGCAATGATAATGTTGCCAAAAATGAAGTAGGAGGGCCGATGCCCAAAGCCCAAAGGAAAAGGAGGAATAAAGTTGAGAAAGCTGCGGAAACGCAGACAGACACTCCGGAACCTATCCCCATGATTGAGACAATCGAGCAATCTGGGAAGGAGAAAGGAGAGGACATAAGCGCGCCAGTACGGGAGACCCCACCGACGGCGCAGATCTTGCGACAGAGCAAGAGGAGGAGTCGGGATTAGCAACGGCAACAACGACGACTACGGCTGACAACGAACCAGCCGAGAGCAAGGAAGATGTGGAGGACATGTGGGGAAAAGAGACGTATTAATGCCTCCACACCGGATAATTCAAACCAATCTAAATCGCAGCCCCACTTCGCAGGACGTGTTTTTGCACACCATGGCGGAGCGGGGCTGTGATCTGGGAGTGGTTGCAGAGCCGCACCGGGTGCCGCGCGATCACTCGCTATGGGCGGGCAGTAGGTGCGGTTTGGCAGCGGTCACATGGAGAAGGACGGCCGAGCCCGTTCCCTGCTCGAAGTTTGAGGCGGGGGACGGGTTTGTGGTTGTTAAATGGGGTCGCGTGTACGTGGCGAGTGTTTACGTCTCGCCAAACGTGGACGTGGCTGTATACGAGGAGGTATTGGCGGACCTGAGGGCCTGCATCTTCAGAATCCCGCTTGCCCCAACGTCAGATGGTCGTGGCCGGGGATTTCAATGCAAAATCAGCGTTGTGGGGCTCCCCGGTCACCGACAGACGGGGCAGGATCCTGGAGACATGGGCGGCGGGCCTGGACCTGGTCATAGTTAACTCCGGACGGGTACAGACCTGCGTGAGGCGGCAGGGGGAATCGATAATTGACCTCACGTGGGCCAGTCCCTCCGTCGCCCGCAGGATAGAGGGTTGGAGGGTGGCCGAGGAGACGGAGTCGCTCTCTGATCACCTAGTTATAGAGATGTCTCTCTCGGTCATCCCGCCGGAGGTCCAGGCTCGCCGCAGGGAGGCGGAATCGTGTTTCCCTAGGTGGGCGCTGAGAAAGATAGACACGGACCTGCTCAGGGCGGTCATGAGCGTGTCGCTCTGGGCGGAGGATCCGGCATCTTCCTCAGAAGAAGTAGAAGAGCCCGCTGGCTGGATCGGGGATTTAATGACGGCTGCGTGCGATGCCGCCATGCCCCGTGTGAAGCCAATGGTGAGAAAGGCGGCCTATTGGTGGACGGAGGAGATCGCTGAATTGCGGCGCTCCTCCGTCCGGGCCAGACGCCGTTGGTTAAGGGCTAGACGCAGCCGGGACCAGCGACGATTGGATGAGACGGGAGTGGAGTACCGTGCCGCCAAACGGCTCTACTCCTGGGCCATTAAGCAGGCCAAGGACAAATCCTGGCAGGAACTCTTGACGGCCCTGGATGAGGATCCGTGGGGGCGCCCCTACCGCATGGTTTTGAACAAATTGCGGACATGGGCGCCCCCAGCAACGGAATCCATGGACCCCGGATTCTTAAAGCAAGTGGTGAGTACCCTCTTCCCGGATGATCCCGGGGAGAGGGCTCACGGAGGTCCTCCCCCACCAATAGTGGAAGGGCGGGACGAGGAGGAATCCGGGGTAACCATGGATGAAATGAGAAGAGCCGCCCGCAAGCTGAAGGCGGGCAAGGCTCCGGGGCCGGACGGGGTGCCAGGAAAAGCCTGGACCTTGGCCTTGGGGGAACTGGCCGAGCATTTGCGCAAGGTGTACAGCAAATGTCTCAGACAAAGTCGGTTCCCCAGGGCGTGGAAGCGAGCTAAATTGGTCCTCCTCCCAAAACCAGGGAAACCCGCCGATCAGCCGTCGGCGTATAGACCGATTTGCCTGCTGGACGAAGTCGGAAAGTTATTCGAGCGAATAATCGCCGACCGACTAGTCCAGCACCTGTCCCGGACTGGGCCCAACTTATCAGAGGCCCAGTACGGCTTTCGGGAGGGTCGTTCGACGATCGATGCGATCAGACGCATCGAGACCCTCCTGAAGGCTGCGGTGGAGGCTGGCAGGATGTTGCTCGGCGTCAGTTTTGACGTAGCCAATGCGTTCAACACCCTGCCATGGTCGGTAATTAGAGAGGCCCTCCTATATCACGGAGTGCCTCTCTATCTAGTAGCCGTATTATACGACTACCTCCGGGACAGGGAATTGGTCTATACGGACCAGGACGGCGTGGTCAGAGTAAGGCTGATCGTGCGGGGGGTTCCACAGGGGTCGGTGCTTGGCCCACTCCTGTGGAACATAGGATACGACTACGTCCTACGCATCGCCCTCCTCCCGGGAAGTTGGCTCAACGGCTTTGCCGATGACGTGGGAGTAGAGGGCGATAATTGGGGGGAGGCGTTAGCTCGCGGTGAAGTCGCAGTGGCGGCAGTCGTGGCCGCAATGAAGAGACTGGGCCTAAAGGTGGCTCCCCAAAAGACGCAGGTCGTCTTGTTTCACGACAAGTCCAAGGGGAGACCGCCGAGGGCCCATATCACGGTCGAGGGGACCCGAGTCGCCGTGGGGTCCAGCATGAAATTGCTGGGCCTCTGGCTGGATGATACCTGGAGTTTCGGCGAGCACTTCTCTCGCCTAACTCCCAGGGTAAAGGCCGTTAGCAACAGCCTGGCTAAGCTGATGCCGAACCTGGGAGGGGCGGGCAACAGGGCTCGCCGGCTCTACGCGGAGACAACGAATGCTGTGGCACTGTACGGGGCCCCAATCTGGGCCCAGGTGGCGGAGAGATCGGTCCGCATCAAAACGCAACTGCGCCAGATGCAACGGACGATCGCTCTGAGAGTGGCCAGGTGCTACAGCACAGTCTCACACGCGGCGGCGACCACACTGGCGGGACTTCCCCCGCTGGAGCTTGCCGCCAGACAACGCGCCAATGTATACGAGCGCGTGGCGAGGCTGAAGGCGGGGGGGTGCCCGGTCCCGCCCCGTGTGCGTAGAGCAATAGGACTCCAGGAGAAGACCGTCCTTGTCCGGAAGTGGCAAGAATGGCTCGGCAATGCCGAGTGGGGACAAAGGACGGTCGACGCCATCCGGCCCCATCTGGCGAAATGGCTGGATGGACGGCGACTCGGATTAACGTTCCACGCGGTGCAGGTGCTCACCGGGCACGGATGCTTCGGTGTGTACCTGTGCCGCATAGGTAAGGAGGCCACGACAAGATGCCATCACTACGACGAGCAGAGGGACGCGGCGCAGCACACGCTGGAAAGTTGTCCAGCGTGGGCCGAACAGCGTCGTGTCCTACAGGGGGAGGTAGGTCCTGACCTCTCCCTCCCAACCATAGTGGCGGCTATGGTTGGGAACCAAGAGAAATGGAGGGCCTTCATCAGATTTTGTGAATCGGTGATGGCCCGCAAAGAGGAGGACGAGCGAGTCCGCAGAGGGGAGGTGAACGCTCCTCACTCACCTGTGGATTCCTCGTAACAGATAGAATGCGGGGTGTAAACCCCGCGGCACTCTCTCTCCATCCTAGAGAGACACTAGTAGCCGTGAGGAAACGGCAAGAGAAGTCCAAGGAGGTTCGGTGACCCAGTCGGGGTAAATGGGTCCCGAACAACCTCCCATCAATAAAACGGGAGGAGTGGCGGGGTGAGGTGGTGTCACACCCCGTCACATTTCAAATATAAGATCGGCCAATATGGCCGCGAGCAACAAAGCTCGAGAGGAGAGAGCCTACAAAGGCTCGGCGCAGGAGAGGCCCCGGACGCAATGATAAGCAGTCCCCGGGGCGCCTCCAAAATGCGCATGGTTCGGACACCCATGGGGTTTTAGTGGGTAGGTCATCTCCCCCCGTCTCTCTCCCCGGAGGGCGGGGGGGTCTTCCCCTCACAACACCTGAGGGGGCTGTCGGGCCACATACCAGACCGACGTCTGGGAACCCGGCAGGCTAAGATTTCCCCATGTAAAAAAAAAAAAAAAAGGTTTCCTCTCGACGATGCGCCACCTTGCCGTGGTGAGAGCTCTGAGGGCTGCGACATGTGCTAAGAGCGCACTGGGGGCGAGTCACTCGTGAATTCGCTCCCATTCGCGAGGGTGGCAGATCACCCGCCCGGGTTTGTACCGGGAGGGCCTGCCGAAGGGAGGAGGGATCTTTATAGATCCCGAATCTCTTCGGTGGGCCGGGGCACAGGAGGGGGCAATCCCCTTGCCTGCGGCGGAGGGGAAGCTGATCGGGCTCCTCCCGAGGTCGCGGGACTGTGCCCCTGTTAGGGTCTAGGTCATCCTCACAATGGAGGATCGGGTAGGTTGCACCCTTGGGGGCTCCTAGGAGACCACAAGGGGGCAGAGTACAAGTGCCTGACCAATGGCACTCGCGACGTGTTAGTCCTGGAGACGGTGTGGGGACCTTCGAGTCTTCGCGCCTTGGGGACTGTCCCTCGAGTCTTCGCGCCTTGGGACCGTCTGTAGGGAGCAGCATACC